TTGCTGGAATGTTGTCACGGTCCCATAGCCTTTGCAGCACTGGAAGCTGTTAGCTGTTTTTTGTTATCAAAAATTGGTTGAAGACTGGCATCAGAGATGCTGGAGCAGGCCAAAATGGATCATCCACTCAGCCTAATTTGGATTCTGCTAGGGCCACTCGGCTCTTGACCTCATTACAGCCTTGATTCAAACATGGACAAAGAGCTGAATTCCAGAGGTGAGGTGAGAATGACAGTCCTTAACAACCAGGGTGCATTTGACCAAATGTGGCATCAAGGTGCTCCAGCAAAACTAGAATCGATGGTTATTACGGCAAACTCTGCACTGGTTGGAGTCTCACCTGGCTCTGGTGGTTGGAGGTCAGTCATCTCAGCTCTAGGACATCTCTGCAGGATGTCCCCCAGGTTAGTATCTTAAGTCCAACCACCTTCAGCTGCTTCATCAATGACTTTCCCTCCATAAGGTCAGAAGTGGGGATGTTTGCCGATGATTGAACAACAATCAGTGTTCATGACTCCTCCGACACTGAAGCAGTCCATCTTCAAATGCAATAAGTTCTGAAAAATAGCCAGGCTTGGGTTGGCAAGTGGCAAGTAACATTTGCACCACACCAAAGCTAGGCAATGTCCATCTCCAATAAGACACAATTTATCTACTGCCCTTCACACTAAAATCTGTTACCATCACTGAATCCCCCACTATCAACATCTTTGGGATTGTATTGACCAGAAACTCCAGTGGACTTGTCACATAAACACAGTGGCTATAAGAGCAGATTGGAGGCTGGTAATACTGCGGCAGGTAACTCATCTCCTGACTCCACTAAGCCTGGCCAATTTACGAGGCAGGAGTGTGAGGGAATACTCCCCAGTTGCCTGGACAGGTGCAGCTTTAACAACATTCAAGAAACTTAACACCATCCAGGACAAAACAGACCATTTGATTGGCACTACATCAACAAGTATGCACTCCCTCCATCACCAACGCTGAGTACACACTACTGCTGCTTTCTAGAAGATGCACTGTAAAAATTCACCAAAGATCTTGAGACAACTACTTCCATCTAGAAGAACAAGGGTAGCAGCTGCATGTGAACACCATCACCTACAAGTTGCCCTCCAAGCCACTCACTATCCTGACTTGGAAATATATCGCTATTCCTTTACTGTTGTTGGGTCTAAATCCTAGAATTCCCTCCCTAAGGGCATTGTAGGTCAACCTACAGCATGCAGACTGTAGTGAGAAAGCAGCTCACCACCAGCTTCTCAAGGGCAAGAAGGGACAGACAATAAAATGCTGACCAGCCAGCAATGGCCACATCCCATGGGAATTTGAAGGAAAATTTTAGTTGAAGGTGAATACAAATAATAAAGCCTTGTCTTTTGTACTGATGCGCTGAGCTCTTCGTCATTTGAGGATGGAGAGAGTTGAAAGCTGTCTCCTCCTGTTTGTTCCGTTGCCCACCATGATTCATGATTGGATGTGACAAGACTTCAGTTTTGATCTGATCGGTTAATTGTGGGATTACTTAGCCCAGTCTATTACATGCTACCTGTCCTGTCTGGCATGCAAGTAGTCCTGTTTTAAATATTTGATGGCCCAGTAGTGATCCATGTTGCACTCACTCATTGCTACTTGTTAATCTGAAAATTGTACATTTATGCATACTGTTTCCTGTTATCTAGTCACTTTTCCATTTATACTAATATACCCCATGCACAGTGATTTTATTTTGAGCAGCAACCTTTGTGACATCTTGTTAAATACCTCCCAGGAATTTTAAGTATACATATCCACATAATTTTTAATCCATTTCTTGTACATTTTTGTCTCTTGTTTTACAGTTTGTGTTATTTCCATTCTCTAAAGTTAAGACTGATGCAAAATCTTTTCATCTATCATACCTTTATTTTGCATTATTAATTCCCCAGATATGCTTTCTAGAGAGGACTGATGCTCACTTTTTTTGCCGTCCTTGTGCTTTTTTAAAATCTTCTGGCCTGCCACTAATTTTTCTGAAATTGCCCCTTTTTCCAATGTGATGTTACCTATAATGTTCTTAATTAACCACGGATAATGGTCCTTTCCCTAGTGCCTTTCTTGCTCCAATGTGCCTGCACTAAATGGTGTGAAATAGTTTCCTGACCTATCCCTAACTTAATTCTAGCTGAATTGAACTGGGAAATTACCTTTCATAATTGTTTGTTTTTTTTTTCAAGTTTAATGCACTAGAGTTATAATCTCAATTGAGGTTATTACTCAAGTCAGATTTCAGACTAAAATCTGGTCTGAGATCATATTTTTTACTTAACAAGGTGTTTCACTGAAACACAAACACATTATGCTGCAGATCTAGTTTTAACAATAAATCAGATTTATTGCACAAAAGGAAAGATTAAAATAGAATAACCAAGCTATTTTATAAAACATAATTTGAAAGAATCCTATTAAACCCAGCACCATCACTTTTTACAGTACTCAAACGCCAGAGAGAATTCCCTTCTGTATAGCTTGTCTTAATGATTTCTTTCAACTCCCAATCTTGAGTTTGATAGCCTCTTCCTGATTATTAGATTTTGTCAGCTTTGAATGACCCTTCAGATATGTAACCAAATACATTTGGTCTTGAACTTTCAAGCGAAGACTCTTACACTGAAGAGACCTATTTCCGAACTGTTCTGAACTCTCTGCTTTCTTCTGGAGGAACTGTCTTTTCACAAAAAACCTCCAACTGGGACTTCTGCATACCAGAAAACACTCTTTTCAAGGTATGGATTTTTTTCATTTAAAAAAAAAAATCGGTTCCTGTTTCTTTGAACTGAAATCAAGGTATTGCTCTTCAGTGTTTGTTCTGACCAAGTGTAAAGCTGTCCTAAGTAAACTAAGTCTTGTTATCACTCCATGGAATTTCTCTTGACCCCCACTCACCGCCCTAACCAACTCACTCTTCTGGATTTCAATA